TCCATGCGCTGCAAGCGGCGTATCCTCCTGTCAGGCACAAGGGTCGAAAGTTGGAGGCATCGGTGGGGTCTCTCTCTCTCTCTCTCTCTCTCTCTCTCTCTCTCTCTCTCTCTCTCTCTCTCTCTCTCTCTCTCTATATATATATATATATCTATATAGAGGACCGTAACAAATGGAACGAGGTTTTGGTTGTAATAATATCGTTACAGTATGTTACACAGAGGCCGGGTTATACTTGGATATGTTAGGATTATTGGCTCGCGGAGGATACTTTCGGCTTTAAAGGAGCTTTGTGCGGGTGATTTATAGCCGCATTATAGCCGCCTCTTAGGTGGTCACAGGGGCTTCTGAAAGAGTCACCGATTCCCCGGCCCCGGCCCCTTTATAAACCTGGAACCTGTGTGTAAGGCGTTGGGCGCAGAGTTTCTGACTTGTTAGATTTTCTTGATAACTGAGTTCAAGGTGTTTGACTCGCAGATGGGACATTTAAATTGGGGCTCACCTGAACCCTATATTGAAGATATCGGCTTGACATGTTCTGCTACGCGCCCAAGAAGGAATCCACAGGGTTTCGTGTTTAGGGTGCTCGGGGAACCCTAAACCCCAAACCCTAAACCCCAAACCCTAAACCCCAAACCCTAAACCCCAAACCCTAAACCCTAATCCCTAAACCCCAAACTAAAGCTGGTGATGCCTGTCGCGACGTCTAGGAGCCTATGGCATCACCAGCGCACGTGCGCTGAGCACCGGCATCCGTTTCAAGAACGGATGCTTAATGCTTGCAGCTTGAGCGCGAAGAGTTAGCTTCGTGCTCCGTACCCGCATTCGTTCACTTCGGAGGGTGCATTTACGCTTCCAGCGTGAAAATAAATAATAGTATATTTTAATACCCTAAACCCTAGGGTCGGGATCCTAACTGGCTTGTGAAGTCTTGAAGCTGGACCCAACTGTCCGTACGGACGGCGGCGTGTGTACTCCCTGACAGCTCACAGGCTGGCCCCAGTCTCCTTATGGAGGAGAAGGCATGGTTTAGAGTACCCACATGAAAAGACAGGAGGGGACCTCGAGATTGGCGCCTAGCCTAGCTTAAAATATACATTTTATGAAAAGAATTTAATACTCCAAAATCAGCTGCAGTTTTCCAGATTTCCGAAAGACAGCCAACTGCCCGTACGGACGGCGCCGTGTACGCACCAAATGCCCGTACGGACGGCCGGTTCGGGCGGCCGCATCTCGGACAACCCGCAGACTGGACCCCACTGCCCGTACGGACGGCCAGTTTGGCAGCCAGCTGCCCGTGCGGACGGCGCCGCGTGCACTCCAAGAGCAGCTACATGAAAAGAAAGAAGGGGACCTCGACATTGGCGCCTGGCCTAAGCTAAAATACACATTTTATGAAAAGAATTTAGTACTCCAACATCAGCCACAATTTTCCAAATTTCCGAAAGGCAGCCAGCTGCCCGTACAGACGGCTTCCTTGCCAGCTCTCGCAGGCTGGCCCCATCTGCGCAGGCTGGACCCACTGCCCGTACGGACGGCCGGTTGGGCGGTGCGTGTGCCTCCCTGTACGCACCAAGTGCCCGTACGGGTGCCCGTACGAACGGCCGGTTCGGGCAGCCGCATCTCGGATAACCCGCAGACTGGACCCGTCCGTACGGACGGCCGGTTTGGCAGCCAACTGCCCGTACGGACGGCGGCGCGTGCGAGAGGACCCCACTGCCCGTACGGACGGCCGGTTCGGGCGGCCTTCACTGTCCGTACGGACGGCACTGGACCCCACTGTCCGTACGGACGGCCGGTTTGGCAGCACCTGCCCGTACGGACGGCGGCGCGTGCAGGAAGACCCCACTGCCCGTACGGACGGCCGGTTCGGGCGGCTCCGACTGCCCGTACCAACGGCGCCATTGTACGCCCTGAAGGGTCGCAGGCTGGACCCCACTGCCCGTACGGACGGCCGGAACTGCCCGTGCGGACGGCGCCCTGCGCTCCACCAAACATTCAGTACCGCTGTGAACGGCCCCCCGACGAAAGCCTAGAGCAAGACCTTAAACGTTAAGGGAAAACGTTGTACGTCGTCCAAACCCCATAAGAAAAACCCTAAACCCTAACAGATTCAATGTCTGGGTGGTCTTGGGGTGGGATGTCGCGTCCAGCTCGGCGCGCCGCCCCGCGACCCTCTGGGTCGAGGCGCGCCGCTTACTGTGGGAAACCCTAAACCCCAAACCCCAAACCCTAAACCCTAAACCCCAAACCCCAAACCCTAAACCCCAAACCCTAAACCCCAAACCCCAAACCCTAAACCCCAAACCCTAAACCCCAAACCCTAAACCCCAAACCCTAAACCCCAAACCCTAAACCCCAAACTTAAAGCTGGTGATGCCTGTCGCGATGTCTAGGAGCCTATGGCATCGCCAGCGCACGTGCGCTGAGCACCGGCATCCGTTTCAAGAACGGATGCTTGCTCCAGCAGCTGAGCGCGAAGAGTTAGCTTCGTGCTCCGTACCCGCATTCGTTCACTTCGGAGGGTGCATTACGCTTCCAGCGTATAATAGTTCTCTAGAAACTTTATTACCCTAAAGCCTAGGGTCCGGGACCGTAAACGGCTTGTGAGGTTTTTAGCTGCTTCACGAAAAGGCTTCTTGTGTGCGTGCTTTACACCGCAGGCTGGAGCCAAGCGGCCGTACGGACGGGCCAGCTAAGAGCAACCACATGAAAAGAAAGGAGGGCACCTCGAGATTGGCGCCTGGCCTAGTTAAAATGCACATTTTATGAAAAGAATTGAAGACTCCAAACCCAGCTGCAATTTTCCAGATTTCCGAAGGGCAGCCAGCTGCCCGTACGGACGGCACCGTGTGTACTGCCTGATAGCTCACAGGCTGCCACCGTCCGTACGGACGGGCGTGCTCTCCCTGTGCGCGCCAGGTGCCCGTACGGACGGCCGGTTCGTGCGGCCGCACTTCTGCCCGTGCGGACGGCCTGTTCGGGCGGCCAAAATCGCTACAATTTTCCAGATTTCCGAAAAGCAGCCAACTGCCCGTGCAGACGGCGCCGCGTGTACTCCCTGACAGCTGGACCCCGCTGCCCGTACGGACGGCCGGTCGGGCGGCCGTGTGCTCAGTGCCCGTACGGACGGCCGGTTCGGGCGGCCCAGCCAACTGCCCGCACGGCCTTCTTTCTGTACTCCCTGTACGCACCAAGTGCGCGTACGGACGGCCGGTTCGGGCAGCCGCATCTCGCACAACCCGCCGACTGGACCCGTCCGTACGGACGGCCGGTTTGGCAGCCAACTGCCCGTACGGACGGCGGCGCGTGCAAGAGGACCCCGCTGCTCGTACGGACGGCCCGGACAACCCGAGACTGGACCGCAGACTGGACCCCACTGCCCGGACCGACGGCCTGTCCGTACGGACGGCCGGTTTGGCTGCCCGTATGGACGGCGGCGACCCCACTGCCCGTACGGACGGCCAGGAGACCACGGCGGCCGAAGGTTTGGCAGCCAACTGCCCGTACGGACGGCGGTTCGGTCGCCCCCACTGCCCGTACGGACGGCGCTCCCCTATCTTTGCCTTCTTAATGAATGAGACCACGGACGGTCGAAGCGGGCTGCCATTTCGGACAACCCGAGACTGGACCGCAGACTGGACCCCACTGCCCGTACCGACGGCCTGTCCGTACGGACGGCCAGTTTGGCAGCCACGGCGGCGACCCCGCTGCCCGTACGGACGGCCGGTTCGGGTGGCCCCCACTGCCCGTACGGACGGCGCTCCCTTATCTTTACCTTCTTAATGAAGGAGACCACGGCGGCCGAAGCAACCTTACGTCCAATTTGGGCCCGTACGGACGGCGGCGCGTGCAAGAGGACCCCGCTGCTCGTACGGACGGTCGGACAACCCGAGACTGGACCGCAGACTGGACCCCACTGCCCGGACCGACGGCCTGTCCGTACGGACGGCCGGTTTGGCTGCCCGTATGGACGGCGGCGACCCCACTGCTCGTACGGACGGCCGGTTCGGGTGGCCCCCACAGCCCGTACGGACGGCGCTCCCTTATCTTTGCCTTCTTAATCAAGGAGACCACGGCGGCCGAAGGTTTGGCAGCCAACTGCACGTACGGACGGCGGTTCGGGCGGCCCCCACTGCCCGTACGGACGGCGCTCCCCTATCTTTGCCTTCTTAATGAATGAGACCACGGACGGTCGAAGCGGGCTGCCATTTCGGACAACCCGAGACTGGACCGCAGACTGGACCCCACTGCCCGTACCGACGGCCTGTCCGTACGGACGGCCAGTTTGGCAGCCACGGCGGCGACCCCGCTGCCCGTACGGACGGCCGGTTCGGGTGGCCCCCACTGCCCGTACGGACGGCGCTCCCTTATCTTTGCCTTCTTAATGAAGGAGACCACGGCGGCCGAAGCGGCCTTACGTCCAATTTGGGCCAACTCCGGAAGCCGTTCCCTGTAACGGAGCTACCTTATCTTTGCCTTCTTAATGAAGGAGGACCCCACTGCCCGTACGGACGGCGCTTCCTTATCTTTGCCTTCTTAATGAAGGAAGAGTCTGTGCGTCCAATCTCGGCCTTATCAAAAGCTATTCCCTGTAACGAAGCTGCTTGTACTACTGCTACACTCCTCCTCCTAGGACTACTACGACCACTACTACTACTGCTGCTGCTGCTACTACGACTACTACTACTACTACTACTACTACTACTACTACTACTACTACGACTACTACTACTACTACTACTACTACTACTACTACTACTACTACTACTACTACTACTACTACTACTACTACTACTACTACTACTACTACTACTACTACTACTACTACTACTACTACTACTACTACTACTACTACTCTACTGCTGTTCAAGCAAAGCTTCAGGGGATGATAATTAACAATTTGCACTTGAATCCTGACAACTTCCCTGTCCCCGCAGCTCCATTTGGATCATAGGAGCTATCCTCTAGTGAACTCCAGCATCGCCAGCGTAAGCTCCATGCCGAAGCGCCCTGCTGCTGCCGACGCCGCTGCGGTTGCTTTGGCTTGGCCTCGCCGCCGCCGGGTTATGGACGAAGTTCCGCATGCTGCGGAAGAAGTCGGGCCTGCAGAGCTTCATCGACCTTTGCCAGCCGAGCGCGCAGCTGCGCCTTTGCGACCTGCGGGCGCGCCGCCGCGTGCACCTCCGGCCAGCCCTGCACCACGACCTCTACGCCGACCTGCCTCGTTGGGCACAGCTTCTACAAATCTATGCCACGGTCGTCCCGACGAGCCCTGTTGCTTTTCGACACGGGTCTCCGGACAGCGTGCGCGTTATCACGATGCCTCGCTGCAGTGTCCCTGGTGCAACGCCGGGCTGCTTCGGACCAGCTTGGATACGGAGCGTGGCCGCGGCCAAATGAGTCGTGCCCTGCGATTCTTCTGGCAACATGAAAAAGCTGTATATCACCAAGCAGTGGAACGCTTGCCCGACAGCGTGCGTTTGCACTTGCCGTTGCAAGCTCTTGGACTTTCGCCGGCCTTCCACTCGGCCGCGGCCCTCGGCGAGGCGTTGGCGACCCCGCAAGGCCGAGGACGAATTGTAATGGTGCTTCGTAAGCGTCAAGCCACTGACGAGGACCTCGTGGCCGAGGCATTGAAAGCCGTTCCGGCAGAGCACCTTGACGATTTGGCAACGAAGTTGGCGCAAGAGCCACGCCGGGTGCGCCGGGCGCGTGAGCGGGCCGCGGCCGAAACTGTAGACCAGCAGTGGGAGCGTTTGCTGGCACAGCGGCGCCGGCTCCGAAGTTCGGCCGCGCCCGACGAAGACCGGGCCGTTTACGCCAAACGCGTGGCTGAGGACCGAGGCCGGGCGCGCCGCAAGTTCTTTCCTGAGCGACCCAGGCAAGTGCGACACACCGGGCGCAGCTGGACAAATCCTTTGACTGACTCGTTGGCGGCTCGCGTCCGGGACCTCACCTCTAATGACACGGGCCTGCCTCGGACCCACGTGACGCCAATGGCGGCCATGCTGGAGGACTGGTGCAAGCAAGGCGCCTGGGGTGTCTGCGAGCGCTGCTACAGCCTAGAGCCACGACATTTGAAGGAAGTGGACACGCGGCGCGTCGCAGCCCCGGCCGTCCCGCATTGCCGCTGGTGTCGACGCGACGGTGTTGCGTCTGTGCCGACCGTTCACTCTGTGCCACGCCAGCTTCGCGGATTGACAGCGGAGGCGGTCGAGGCCCTGCGCCCGCTTGAAATCGACTGCGGCCCGTACCAGCGTCCTTTGCACGGTTATCGAGTGCACACTGCCCTCATCCGTCTACTATGGGCTACGACCGCTGTGGAAGACAGGGTATCGGCCTTGCAGCCTCGATCCGTGCGCAAGCAGGCGCAGAAGGCTTTTGCGTTTCTGATGCAGTCGCGCCATTCGGAATACGCTGCCTTCGTCAAGCAGCACCGTCGCTTCCTCCGCGCCCACCCGGACGCCTGCCAGAGCGATCGGCGACGGCCCTTGCAAATGATCGAGGCTCCTGGCATCGAGACTGCACTATGGCCCGATCTATATTGGCATTCGGACTTGTGCGAGACGGTCCAGCGGGCCACGGACGCGCGTCGCCTGCAGCGGCAGCAGTTGCAAGATACGGACAGTGATGAAGACGGAGCCGACGAGGCCGGAGGTTTTGGCCGCAGCAGCATTCGACGTAGCTTCCTAAAGAAAGTACTTGGTCCCATCCTGGACTATGCCGGAGAGTACGAACTCCTTCAATTCATTTTCGATCTGTCGCACTGGAGCGACCTGGGCTCCAAGCGACATATACAGCCACAACTTCCCATGCGGATCCTGCTCAAGGGGGCACCGTTCACGCCGGCTTATTGGGCCGTTCGTCATGCAGCGGTACTCGACCTGCAGCGACAATGCGGATACCCTGTCTTATTCAAGACGTGGGCACCGTACGAATGGAGCGCGCCGTATCATCGTGCCCTGCTCCATCAGATGAACGCCCTGCTGCGTTCCCGCCTGCACCTGGAAGGGCCGGAGACATTGCACTTGGCCCACATCCTCGTGGAGCTCCTGCGCGAATGGGTCGCTGGGGGCAGCCGGAAGCATGGCGAGAGCAGCACTTTCTGGCGCACGCACTGCCTGAGCGCTGCCGGCGGCAACCGCATCAACTTTGTCATGGCCGCGGTGCGATCCATCTCCACGCAGTTCTGTTTGCCGAAAGCCTGCAGAATTTGCAACTGCACCGGAAGCTACTGGCGACGGAACTGCCGGAAGGCCACGCGCTGCGGGGTTACGTCCTAGACCAGCTCAGCTATTCCGGCAGCGGCTGGCCCGTGCACGCAGGTGCCTCCTGCTGGGACGATCTGAACGAGGCTGTGTGCTTGCACCACACTGAGCGCGATGCGGAGCAAGGAGTGCGTGCATACGGTCTGGAAGAAGTGGACATCTTGAAGAGCCATGTGGACAACTTGGTGCCGCAGGCCGGGGGGGCCGCCGGTCGTGGCCTCCTCCTCCGCTATGTCGCGACCTATAACGCGAAGTTCAGCGGCAGCTTCCACAACGAGCTCCTGGACGATTCCGGCGTTTCCGGATATGGAATCGCGCTGCGGGTTCTCAGTTCTTTGCATCCGTCCGAGCCGGAAATGTGGGCGACCTTGTGCAAGCAACTCTTCCCCGATTTCGCCTTGGGGGGCACCATGTTGCCCATCGTCGCGCCCTGGCCTATAATGGCGGAACAGCCAGCGTTCGTGCGGCGTTACGAGCAGTGCGTTTGGCGCAGCGACGACATGACCCTGCTAGACTTCCTGCGCAAATCCAACGCCAGCGGTGACGTGGTGGCCTGGCTACAGAAGGCCCACGCGGCCGCTGACACGCCGTTGGACCTGGGCGAGTTTGCGAGTGCGTACCCTACCTTCGGAGAAAAGATCATAGCGGCAGAAACGGTGGGAATCTTCAATGACAAGTATTTCGGACAGTGGCTCATGCTGAATGTCCCGTTTCGTGCTGCCGCTGATTTTCTCGATCCTGAAATCATGGCGAAAGTGCCCGCTCGCTACCAGCTCTTCGCTTGTGCGCACCGTGCAGCCCCTGAGTACTGGGCAGATCGAGGTCGCATCGTCGAAGATCTGCAGCTGGCCGCGCATCGCGACACCGGCATCGCCAATTTCCTCGCGCTGCTGGCTGCGCAGCAGGCGATCGTCCAGCAGTATTTGCGTGGAGAGATCACGCTGGAGGACGAAGTGCCCGAGCCGGTGCTGCAATCCGCAGCGCGCCCCGGCACGTCCAGGCCGCCGACCTTCAATCGACAGCAGCAGGAATTGGAGCGACAGGCGCTCGAGCGCTTCGCACTCTTACAAGCTCTGAAGGATGCCCAGTCGGAGGAAGAGGTCGAGGACGTGTCGCAGCAGCTGGAAACGCACAACAGCATTTTGGTGTGCATGGGCGGACCGGGCACGGGCAAAACGTTTCTAGCCGATCACCTCGTGCGCGTTGCGGTCGAGCGAGGATATCGGGTGCTTTATGCCCTGCCCACGGGCCAGCTCGCATGCCGCATGCGCCAGCGCCACCCGGACATTCATGTGGACACCTGCGCCGGCGCCTTCCTTTTCTACCGCCCACTAGCGGAAACGATCGCCCTCATGACCGAATACGACATGGTCGTCATTGACGAGGCTTTGCAGCTCAGCGCCGAAGAGTTCGCCCGACTGCACGCCCTGTTCCTCGCTGCCGGCCGCCGGCTGCTGCTGCTGCTCCTGGGCGACGACTGGCAGCTTCCAAGCATTGCGCCCGAACGCGCCAGCGATCACCCACAGTGGCGCTTTACGCGCACCCTCACGCTGACGGAAGTCCGTCGGTGCAAATGCTCCCGGCTGCAGGCCAAGCTCGACTTCTTGCGCTACCACAAGCCCGTGGGCCAAGAGGGTAAGCGCTTCGTAAACCGCTTGTGCTACAAGCATAAGGCATGGACCGGCCACGACGAACCAACTAGCCTCGATATCGCGGACGTGCTGCGGCGTACCGAGAACAACACGACCTTCGTCACCTGCACCAAAGCCGGTGCCGCGATCATCAACGCCCTGGCGGTGCAGGTTCTGTTCACCAACCGGAAGCAAAGGCTCCTGGGACAGATTCCAGGGACCTACGAAGACAACGAAGACAACTACGATGCGCACGGTCGCCTCCGCTCCGATCGTCCACCGCAACCTAGCACGGTCCCAGTGTATGTGGGCATGCGCTTAGTGCTGACCAGGAATCAAGACAAAGAGAACCACTACGTGAACGGGATGGTAGCCACCGTCGAAGCATACTGTTCTGCGACTGGCTGTCTTCGTGTGCGGACACAGACGGGCCGGCGTCTGGCGGTGTATCGCTACACCGACCCGGATGTGCCTTCCGGACGTGTGGTTTACTACCCGGTGCGTGTTGGATACGCAGGGACAATCTACAAGTATCAGGGAGCTGAATTGCAACACGTCACTGTGTGGCTGAATCGCACTTGGTGCAGGGCGGCTGCGTACGTTGCTCTCTCCCGCGTGGCACGCGACGAGGATTACCTCGTCGGTGGCGTCGTAACCGGCGATCACCTGGTGCCTGCCAAATAATGTGCGACCAAGGCCAAGCGGCTTCCACTATGCTTTCTTCAAGACGGAAGGGCACGTCACCAATGCCTTCGGCGACTGGTTCGCCCAGATCCTTTCCAGTACATGTCCCATATCTGCCCAAAAAATGCTTTTCGTGCGGTTGCCATACCACCGCATGCTTTGAAGCGTTCGGACACAAATCTCTCGGCGATTGTGGTCCGCTTCATGATTTGCACGCAATCCAGTACATGTCCCATATCTGCCCGAAAAATGCTTTTGTCCGGCCGCTATAGCACAGAGTGCTTCGGAGCATTCCACACTCGCATTCTTGGTTCAAAAATAAATCAAAAAAACCCTAAACCCTAACAGATTCAATGTCTGGGTGGTCTTGGGGTGGGACGTCGCGTCCAGCTGCGGCGCGCCGCCCCGCGACCCTCTGGGTCGAGGCGCGCCGCTTACGATGGGAAAACCCTAAACCCTAAACCCTAAACCCCAAACCCTAAACCCCAAACTGAACCCCAAACCCTAAACCCTAAACCCCAAACCCTAAGCCCTAAACCCCAATCCCTAAACCCCAAACCCGAAACCCTAAACCCCAAACCCTAAACCCCAAACCCTAAACCCCAAACCCTAAACCCTAAACCCCAAACCCTAAACCCCAAACCCTAAACCCCAAACCCTAAACCCTAAACCCTAAACCCCAAACCCTAAACCCCAAACCCCAAACCCTAAACCCTAAACCCCAAACCCCAAACCCTAAACCCCAAACCCTAAACCCCAAACCCTAATCCCCAAACTGCCGAGAGCGCCGCTGACCATTTGCATGGGCGCTCGAGGCTCCGACCGAGGCCCCCGGCCGAGCGTCCCGACAAGACGGTGAGGGAGGGTAAAGCCTCCCGGTATACGGGGACGGAAATGACTCGGCTACGCCTCACACAATACGGACGTCAGTCCCGAGGTCTTTTTGGTCTGGCTTGGGGGTCTGGGGGGTACCCCCGGGGGGTCTGGGGCCCCAGGCTGGCCGACTCCAGGGACCCGGGGGCTTCCAGGTGGGTCCTAGGGGGCGACCTCCAAATTTCCTCCATTTTCGCCCTTTTGGTGCGTGCCCCGCCCCCCCCCACCCTGCCCTGCCCTGCCCTGGGGGGGGTGCCCCCCCCCTGCCCTGCCCTACCCTGCCCTACCCTGCCCTACCCTGCCCTACCCTGCCCTACCCTCTGCCCTGCTACCCGCCCTGCCTCTCTGCCCGGCCTCTTGCCCCGCCTGGTTCGCACTTCGAGCAGCCCTTACAGGGCGCGAGACCCAAGTTGTTTGTTGGAAACCCTCTTCTCGTCGAGCGGCCGGCACAGGCCGCGAGGACCCACAACCCGACCGAAACCATTTCTGCTGTGATTTCTGGAGAAATATTGTTGTTCACATGTCGAGCTGCGAAAGGAAGCAGAGAGCAAGAAAGCCCCCCTTGAGGGGGGTTTGGGGGGTGAACCCTAAACCCTAATTGAGAATAGTTGGGGTGGTTGGGGCGGGACTACATGCTGACGCAAGCGCGCGATTAGTGGGTGCGCCCCTTATTCCTAAAGTAAAAGGTGCACCCACCGCGCGCATACTGTTACACACCCTGCACCCTAAACCCTAAACCCTAAACCCTAAACCCTAAACCCTAAACCCTAAACCCCAAACCCTAAACCCCAAACCCTAAACCCTAAAAACCCCAAACCTAAACCCCAAAAACCCTAAAAACCCTAAACCCTAAACCCCAAACCCAAACCCTAAACCCCAAACCCTAAACCCTAAACCCCAAACCCCAAAAACCCCAAACCCTAAACCCCACGAGCTCGAAGCTCTTAGCATTTGACGGTCTCGGCTTGGGGAGCCAAGGTTCAGGGCCCCAAAAAACTCTGTTAGGAACCCCCAAAAGGGGTTCTTAAAGGGCTCCTTAAAGGGATCTCTAGGGTTCCTTTAAAGGGATCTATGGGGTTTAATTAGGGTTTAGGGTCTAAGCACATAAGCATCAGCATTTTAGAGGCTAGGATGCCCAGTAGTACCCTTATTCCCTTTTTGTAGTCCTAGGTTCCTTATAAAGTTACCCAATACCAAAAAGAGAGGCCTTTTTCTTCTTAGGTTACTGGGTATCCTAGGAGGGATATCCCTACCTCAATGGGCTTCATTATAAGGGGGTCTATATGGGATATCCCTATCCTAATTTTTGCTTATGTGCTTTTTTGGGGTCCTAAAGGTCACCTTCCCCTCTACACACCCAGCCCGGGGCTTCCAACTCAACTTGGGGCTCAAAGCTTCTAGGGCTCCTTAAAGGGTTCCATAGGGATCCTTTCAAGGGATCTATAAGGGTTCCTTAAAGGGATCTTTAATGGGGTTTAGGATTTTTTTTGGGTTTTGGGTTTGTTGGAGTTGAGGGTTGAAGTTTAGGGGTTGCTGGAGACGTCTCGTTCACCAGGAACTCCTCTCCAGAACAATCTCGACGAGTTCTACACGTGCTGCCAGTTCCTTGCGCACAGCTTGGACGATGAAGTTAAACCTTAAACCCTGAGCCCAGACGACTTCTTAAAAACAGGGCTTCCTTCGCAGGGCTTCTTATCATAGCAAAAGATCTAGTACCTCTGCTTAAATTTACCCGGACCGTCCATGCACCCTCAAACTGGGGAGTCAGGCGCATCATGGTGGGTACTTAGGGTTACACAGAGGGTACATGGAGGGTCATCACTTTTCTGAAGCTCCCTCACTTCTTCAAGTGTTTGGCTTGTGCAAGAATCACCCTGAAAGGGGACAGAAATTCAAGCCTTCTACGAAATCGCTAGTTGCAGTTTCCTCTGTAGATTCCCCGTGCCCTGAAGCAGACCCGAATTGTCAATCCTCAACCAAGGTTCGTACATCCCAACATGCTGCCTGCATCCTCTGTGTTCCAGCGGGTTTTCAAGCACGCCATCGTGATTCGGCTGCAACAGACATGATCCAGATGAGGTCCCATGTGCTGCAGACACTTACCCAGAGAGCCCAATACCCCTTAGTTAAGGAATATGGCTTAAATTATATAGGGCTTCATAATATGGTTTAAGCTATATTCCTTAATCATAGTGTATTGGGCTCTCTGGGTAATTCCCCAGCCCGGAGCATTCCTCCGAGCGCGGTCTTGCTCCTGTGACTGTCTAGTGCAATGTGGTCAGGGCGTGAAGGCTCCAGTAATGAAGGGGCCTTTATAATTACCTATACTATATCCGGGGTTCCTTATTATACTTGTAGTATAATGGGCCCAAAACCCCCTATTCGAATGATTAAGGTCCCAGATTAGTGCATGAGCTTCTGAGGTTCATCCTTGGGTTTGGGGTTTGCTTTTCCCTAAGGCTCCATGTACCCTTATAGTAGATACTTAGGCCTCAAAGTACCTATATAGGGACTACTTTGGGGCTTAAGTATCTACTATAAGGGTACTTAGGACCCTTTGGGTTTTGGCGGTAAGGACCCCTCAACTCCCGAATCCGAAACCCAGAAGGCCCGACGCGCACCCTAGGACCTGAAACCCCAAAACTCTGAGGCCCTGAACCGTACGACCCTGAAGCCCCGTACCCCCAAGATCGGAAGTCCACAAACCGACAAACCCCAAACTATGACGGTAATCTCTGAAACCCGAAACCCGGTAGGGAAGACACACCCTCAACCAAAGGGCTACAGCGAACCCCAAAAGCGTTGGAACATGGAGTATAAGGATGACAAGGATTCCCTCTACTCTGGGGCATAGGCATACTTAGATTCCTTTCTAGCTTCTCCTATATGGGGGTTTCCGAAAATAAGGGACCCTAATATAGTACCCTAAATAGTAGGATCCTTATTATAAGGACCCCAAATAAGGTACCCCTAATTTTCGGAAACTCCCATATAGGGTCGATAGAGGCCTCGAATTCGTACCCTAAATCCCGGAACTGAAAACCGCAGAGCCCACCGCCAAGGACCGCTCCAGAGACAAGAACGCCTCTGCCGAGGCAGAGTTGAGGGTTTAATGGGGCTTTGTATGGCTTACAGGGTTTAGGATTTAGGGTTTAGGGTTTAGGTTTATTTGGGTGTTTAGGGTTTGGGTTTATTTGGGTGTTTAGGGTCCTTTTTAGAGTGTTAGTATAGATAGGGTTTGTAACTCTGGGGAGTTGGAATTTGAGAGTCTGGGGGTTTGCGGCTTTGGTGCTTTAGGGTTTTGGGGATTTATGATTTTGGGTGCCGTGGTTCTTTGTCGTATAGTGTTCTGTAGAGGTCCTAAGCGGTGATGTTTAGTCAAACCCCAAGCCCACAACCCACAGGCCATAAAGCCTACTCATCGTAGCTAACTTAGTAGCCCTTGTAGATCCCTTAAAGGAACCCTTAAACCCTAAACCCTTAAAGAGGAACCCCGCATTTGGTGCGGTCTTTAAGAGATCCTCGGAGTGGTTCTTTGTGCCTTCGGACTGGGTCTTTTGGATTTCGGTTTGGCCTTAGAGGTACTTAGACATGACTTTAATGTGTGGTTCCTTCAATCCCTAAGAAACAGCTAAAATTAGGAACACATGCTAGGGGTCTATGTTCAGTATAGCATCTCGCAGCTGCTGGAAAAGCCGGGGTCAGGGGGGAAGGGTTGTGGGGGTCAGACGTAGGACTTGACAAGAGGCTGCCCTAATTCAACCCTAGAACCCGAATTCAACCCTAAACCCTAGAACCCCAATTCAAACCTAAACCCTAAAACCTAAAATCCGAAACCCCAGACACTAGCACGTAAAACAAAGGCAACATTCCACACAGTCTCAAAAGCAAGCTTCATGGCATGGTCTATGCGCTTCAGCCGAGGCCATACTTGGAGGATCATGGGACTTAGTAAGTATGGTTATAAGTACTAACTGGGGCTATAAGAAATTATAAGTATATTTACCTTAGTAATAACCCTAGTTACTAAGTGCCATGATCCTGCAAGTAGACCATCCTCGAACCCGTGTGGAGCTCTTGTAGAGCCCTGGAAATCGTACTGGCCCTGCCTGCAGGCTCCAGTGTGG